ATGGTGGTCGGAGGGACTGGTGGCACCAGTGTACGGCAGCCTCGCGTGAGCCCCGGGGCAGCTGTGGCTGCTATGTAGCTTGCCACCATCAGTGTGCACTGCAAAACTATGTAGAAATAAGTAAAAATTTCTTAAATAAAGTGCATTTAATCTTAATTTAAGTTGGTTAACAAGATGATTTGCCAATGGAATGAGTATTTTTATTCTTAAAATAAGATTATTAGATGATATGTGCTTGAAATAAGACAATGCAATTGTTTTTTTCTGTTTTAAATGTAAATTGTTTGTTCCATTGGCAAAGGGTCTCACCTCCTCAATTCAACAAAAAATACACCTATTTTGAGTAGAAAACGACTTATTTAGATTAAAATGTTTTGGCAGTGTGTGAATTAATGACTGAATGTAGTGTAAATTCCTTTGCTTAAGTCCTCTTACTTGAAAAAGCGCTATATAAGAACATGCCCTTTAATATTTACATTAGAAAATGAACGTCTGAAATTCAACAGCCCATTAATCACAACATTTCAGCATCGTGAGCTGGAGCCATCATTCCACACTGCGAAAACAATGAGAAAAAATGTTTTAAATTAAGTGTATTTACCCTTAATTTGAGTAGGTAAATGAGATGCTTTGCCAATGGAATGAGTGTTTTTTTTACTCTTAAAATAAGATATTTAGATAAAATGCACTTGAAATAAGACAATGCAATAGTGTTTTCTTATTTTAAATGTAAATTGGCTTGTTCCATTGGCAACATGTAACTTTTACCATCTGCTGCTTTTGCACAGAAAAAAAAAAATTTGATTTTTTTTTTTTCTCCTGTACAAGGAGCCTAGTCATCCCTAAGAGCGTTGCATGCACGTTAATGGGGGCAATAAGTATTCAGTGTGTAAATACTGTGTGTAAAATGCCCACTAAGAACAGGAAGAAGGAGAAACCCCTTGCAGAGGAATGTTCTGGAGAGGAGCGAGGAGGCGAATGGATCTGAAAGCCACTAACAATTTGATGAAGCAGTTCAGTCTGTGTGTGACTATTTTTCAAGTACTCATAAGTAGATTGCAGACTGCACAACCTCAAACTAGTGTAGAACCTACAGAAGCAATCGCAAAGAACAGCCTATCAGACTGATTGCAACCTAGAAAGTTGGAGTCAATCTGTCTGATTAGTACTGATCTGTCCAACACAAGCGATGCCTTGATGCTACACTGGAAAAATATCTAGAAATAAATAAAATGTCTTAAATTATGCGTATTTATCCTTAATTTGAGTAGGTAAATGAGATAGTTTGCCAATGGAACAAGTATTTTTACGCTTAAAATTAGGTCAGTTAGATAATATGCACTTGAAATAAGACAATGCAATTGTGTTTTCTTATTTTAGGTGTAAATTGTCTTGTTCAATTGGTATAATGTTTCTTACCTCTTCAATCCAAGAATAAATGCACTTGTTTTAAGAGAGGATTACTTATCTAGATTTGGATATTTTCCAGTTTACATGCTTTTTAATAATGTTCTGGACAATAAAGTACCAGCTGATATCCTACAGCGGTTTCATGGAGAATCTTCCTGCTGAACTCAAAAAGCCTCTGGTCACTCTTTCACCTTCAAGTAAATTCCAGCCTAAAATCAACCGCTGGCTGCAGAAAGTCTGATCACTACATCAACTAAGGAAGGTCCATGGAAATGCAGGGAATGTGGGGATGCCAGATAGAAACTTCTTCACTTGGCCAGTTAATAATCTGGAAAGAAAAATCACTATGATATGCATTTAGTTTTTTCATTTTCCAATACATTTATGCTTTGATGGGAAAACGATGTCCTGTACACATTTTTTTCACATCTCATAATACGAATAGAGTTCTGTTAGTTGGTCCCTTTAATGTTTAGTAAAAGCAGAGTACAACTTGCAAAGTATTGAGCTTTGACACAATTTGTCACCACCATAGATGTGTTTATTTGGTTTATCTTTGAAAGAAAATAAAAACATAGTTTTCAAATATTAAAAGTGGAGCAGTTTTCTATTTTTAGACCCTTTGCTTTGATAACCCTCAATGAAGTATATTTCAACCAGCTTAAATTAGGGGTTACATAAACCAAGCATAATTTTTATTTGTTTTATTTATTTGAATTAGGACAATGTGCATTCATCAACATGTCAGCATTAAGCATCAATGTAAATATGCCAGAATTAGCACAACAGCTAATTTGCATCCGCTGTCCTAAAGCAGGTAAAAACGGTGAACATTAAACAAGACGCTACAGGAGAGAATAGAGTGGACACAAACAGATGCCAATAACATAAAATCACAATAAAATTAGGTTAACAATAAAATGAGGTTAACAGGCCCATGGAAACAGATCAATTTACCTGTGAACACACGTCTGGTTAGTTTTCAACCAATGTTTCAAGGAGAATTTAAAACGTATATAGGTTACACAGCCCCTAACATGAGCTGGCAGTGTGTTCCATAACTGTGCTCCTCTGATGGATGCAACCATTTGGCCAAAGTCTCCTCTGGGTAAAGCTCTAGTGTTTATTCTAGTTATGTTTTTTTTTGCTTATAAAATCTGTTAGAGTAGGAGGAGCAAGTCCATTTAAAACTTTAAAAACAAGGCATGCATCCAGAAACATCTGATGACGTTCAAAGTCTAAAATGTTGTACTAACTTAAAATGTTACAATAATGATAATGTACAGGTTTTTTATCAAGAACTTTCAGAGTTTCCTTGAAGAGAGACTTTAGGGGTTTCAGAATGGCCTTTGAAGTGTGAGACCATGTGGTATGGCAGTAGTTTATATGGCTAAATATCATGGCATGCATGCATATAGGTTTTTGCTGATTCAGAAGTCAGAGAGGGTCTTATATGTTTAAAGTTTGAAAGATTGAGCTGCTTGTTTTCTGTTAGACAGATATGATTTCATCCAGCAGATGGTACTTTTAGAGAAATTAAACTGAGTTAACTTAGCCAGCAGAAGGTTATGGTTGATCGTATCAAAAGCACGTTTCAAATCAAGGAAAACAGCACCGACAAAGCCACCCTTATCCAGCTGTTATTTTAGATTTTCTAAGAAGTAACAAGTGGCTGTCTCTGTTGAGTGATGTTTCCTAAAACCAAACTGCATGGGATGGAGAGCATTTGAACAATTATTTATGTATTGCACTTGCTGAGCAACAACCCATTTCTCTGCAATTTTTGAGATTGATTAGCTTCTGTAAGAAGATTTGTTGGGGAATAACATAAAATCTCAACAAAGTCAATATAAATCGTAGTAAATTGCAATGATGTAAGACAAAAAAAAGCAGGTTACTTTAAAGGATTAAATATTCTCTATTACATTATTTGATAAACACAACGGGCAACGTATAAGATGACAATATAAAGCAAAACCAATGATGTAAAGCAAAGGTTGCAGGTATATAAACAACACTGAGCTTAATATGTTTGACCTTAATGTGAGGTAGACAGCAGCAATGTATTTGAACTTTTAACTAAACTACATCATGTTAACATATATTTAAACATGCACTGTTCATTTAAATATATCCTCGTCTTTTTAATACTTATACATTTTACAGTACTGAACCATTGAATTAACATTAAGACAGTTTAGATTTATGCAGCTTCTGAGTAAAATGTATAAAACTGGTTTATCATTACATGATTGATAATCAGTCTTCAAGGCAGTGTTGGTCCACTGATGCTTTAACATGCTCTTATTGGGAAGAATTAATTCAGATGCTTTGTATCGGGTGACAACACTTTAGGTAATATTAATATTACATAATTATACAAAGCTGTATATCCACTGCAAAATCCTTTTAAGGTGTTTCTGTTTTTCAGCCGGAAACTTGTGGAGCAACACATGGTGTTCACAGTGTATGGAAAAATGAGGTCCTGTTAAAGGGCTCATAAGCAGTTAATACAGTAATGTTGCCTTTGTTTAATACACTGGAAAAAAATCTAAATCTAGTTAAGTAATTTTTTCTTAAAATAAGTGCATTTATTCTTAGATCGAGGAGGTAAAAGAAACATTTTGCCAATGCAACACACTGCAAAAACGATCTAGAAATAAGTCAAATTTTCTTAAATTAAGCGCATTTACTCTGAATTTGAGTAGGTAAATGATATAGTTTGCCAATGAAATGAGTAATTTTACTCTTAAAATACGATAATTAGATCATATGCACTTGACTAGATTTACATTTTTTGCAGTGCAAGTCGATTCACATTTAAATTAAGAAACCACAATTGCATTGTCTTATTTCAAGTGTGTTTTATTTAAATATCTTATCTTAAGAGTAAAAATACTCTTTCTATAGGCAAATTATCTCATTTACCTACTGAAATTAAGGGTAAATATACGCAATTTAAGACATTTTTACTTATTTCTAGTTTGTTTTTCCAGTGTATAAATGAAGATGACTATGTGAGCAGTGGGTAGCACTGATGTCTTACTGCAAGAAGGTTCTGGGTTTGCATGTTCTCCCTGTGCATGCGTGGGTTATCTCCGGGTACCCCGGCCTCTTCCCACAGTCCAAGAACATGACTGTTAGGTTGATTGTCTTCTCTAAATTCTCCTTAGGTGTGTGTGAAGTGTTGTTTGTCCTGTTTGTCTCTGTGTTGCCCTGTGATGGACTGGAGACCTGTCCAGGGTGGACCCCGCCTCTCGCCGGTCGACATCTGATGGATGGATGTATGTGCTAATGGCTTTTTTTAATATGGGCCAAAACCAAACCCAACATCATTCCGAAGGACATTGCTGTGATTTATGTAAATGCAATTTGAATGACTTTTAAACCATCATCCTGTTTGCATTCGGGGCTTTTTTACACTGCAAAAACGATCTAGAAAAATGTAAACATTTCTTAAATTAAGTGCATTTACCTTTAATTTGAGTATATAAATAAGATGATGAGATTATAATAAGATAATTAGGTACTATAAATTGTTTTTTCCGATTTTAAATGTAAATTGTCTTCCTTTGAAAGTTTCTCACCGCCTCAATTCAAGAAAAATTCACTTATTTTAAGAAAAAAATGACTTATTTAGTTTTCTATTTTTTGCAGTGCAAAAATTGGATGAATATTTTTGGAGGAAGTGGAAATGGTTAACCACCAACAATCTACCTGTCTGAAAGCTGTAACGAGAACAGTAACTGCTCAACAGTTTTTGCTTAAACCGGCACTTTTTATACCACATAAAGATACCTTGGAAATAATTTATATGTTTTGTTTTTTTAAATCTCAAACATCACCACATACTTCCTCTATTTCCCGTAATAATACTCAGCTTTTGTGTAAAAGCATAAGACTCTGTGGATGTCATCTCTGATGTTGGCTCTTTACAGATGACTTTTTCAAGTTTTTAGTTCTTATTAGCTGAATATCTCATGAAGACACCAGGAGAGTTATCTACTACTAATGCTTATAGCCTTCCAGAATTATTCCTTTAATTGTGAGTTGATTTCCAGTCCGTATCAATCTTTGAGGTCAGCAAGGTCCGAGTCAGGATACGTGTTTCCACTGTTTATTCAAGAAAAAGACAGATAAGCATTTAGTTAAGTCATTTTTTGCAATAACTTCAAACCTTCTATTTTCGAGACAAACCTTTTAAGGTTATCGCTCCCGATGCTCCACATCTGTCCGAATACTAATGCTATTTCCATAAATGGTTTGCAGGTCGTCCCAAAGCCTGACAACCACAACATGAAAATAAATAAAAGAAACAAATTAAATTTGAAATCTACTCCCGCTCTTTGTCACGTTTTATGTTAAATCAGAATGAATCGTTACTGTCTGGCTGAAATACCAGCCAGAAAGTACATTTCTTTTCTATTGTCTGAATTCCAGAATCATCTAGAATATTTTAGAGTGTTTTGTACATCGTTATATTGAAGAGTTTACATAAAGGCTTCAAGCTTTATGGCTTGAGTCAAAAGTTGTTGTTTTTTTTTACTTTCCATAAGCTCTCACATAAAAAGTGTTCTGGATCATTCCTCCAGACAGGACTACTGTAACCCAGTCAGGATTGTTGGCCAGTTTCAGCTCTTCCTGGCAAATCTTTGATACGAATCTACATGCCACATGCAAAACAAAAACTAATAGTGTTCTGATTTGATCTGTTTTCCTATCCCTGTCTTTTTAAAAACTGTTACCTGTCATGTCCCGCACTTTGGGCCGGATTTATCAAGATCTAATTTTGCGTGCAGTAATTTGCGCTCACAAACTGGAATTTTGCGCGAGGGGCTGAACCATGGTTTGCGGGTGATTTAACAAGAGTGATTGCGTAACTGGTGGCAGGTGCAAAACTGTTGGAGACGCCCTATTTAAATGATGGTTTTGCGCATTTTGTTGTTTGCGGCAAAGTAGTTTGTACAAGCTAGTGCATTAAGAAATTTTAATCTTACAGTGACACCCCCACCCCCTCCAAAAAAAAAAATATATATATATATATACATATATCCTATATATATATAAAAAAAAAACTTTGGCAACCTTTATTCCCTAAGGTGGTATGTGGCTGAATTTCTACTTCACTGCAGTAAAAAAACAAAAAACAGGTGTTTTGTATTGGCCTGTAGAAAAATGCACATACCAAATGGCTCACAAGAAGTGACTGTGGATGAGATTACTGCGCGTACGCATCCGCGCAGCATTGGCATGTTGCTCCACAGGCGCAGGGGGGAGGTCGGGGTTCTCCGGTAGGGCGTCAGGGCGACATGGCATTTAGAACGTCGGACAGCACTTCTGAAAAACTAGATTGGAAGATCCCAGCTCTCGCTGCAACCGTACGCTGGAATGACCCAGATGCAAAAAAGTGCAATGTTGCAAGGAGTTTTGTGTCCTCCTTGTGGCTGGCTCCAAATCCATTCGGAGTTCCCCCAACAGCTCCAAAATGGCAATGCTGGATAAACGATATGTTTTGATGATCGTTTCAGCGTTCATTGCAAAAATATTCACACGGAGTGAAAAAAATTTGTTCTCTGCGTCTCCTTGCTTCATTTCGATGTCTCCTTCTTGCGACAATAACCGCTGCCATGTGTGCGCAATTACGCATACAGACCATTTGCACCTTCTTTTGAAACGTGTTAAATATAGAGTCAGATACCGTTAGCAAAATTGCTTTCAGGTTTGATAAATCACTTTGCGAGTGCTAAATTAATATATTTACATGTTATCCTCCAACAAGACGCACTTTTGCGTGTAAACGCCCCATATTGCATATTCATTGCAGAAAAAGTACTAAATGGATAAGAGGCGCCATTTAGCACGTTTTAAAGACCAAATCCTTTTAGCACGCTGTTGATAGATCAGTTTGTACATTTTTTAGCGTGCGCAGTGAAATAGCTCACGTTTTTATACACGCAAACCTTTGATAGATCCGGCCCTTTATGTCAGTTTTTAAATGTCAGTCTTGTATATTTCTTGTATATTTGTATATTGTAGAGAGTAAACGTAATTTCATTTCCCTTGTATGTCTTGTACATATGAAGAAAATGACAATAAAAGCTGACTTGACTTGACTTGAAATCCACTTTACCTTTTGGCAAGCAAGAGGCTGAGCTGGATGGGCAGGAGGAGCAGAGTCAGCGTGTAACAGATGACTCTTATGGGGAGGAAGTCAGTAAAGCTGTGAGTCCACTGGCTGCCATTGTGGTGGTTATACCGGCACGCTTCACACAGCACTAACACATGCAATAACAGTCAGTCATCATAAAATATTTGAAGTGCAGTGTCATTATATGTCATCAGTCCGTGAGCTCATGCTCTTCAGAGTAGTAGTTTCAGTTAAAAAAGATGTTAAATTTTAAAGCATACTTGATTGTTTCCTTACCTTTTTTAATATTGGAAGGAAGGTTGTTGTTGACTTTGTGGTTGAGCCATATCTGAGGTTTTCTTCCATCACATTGCAGCTTCCTCCTCAGCTTCTCCTCTCCTGCAGCCTGCTCTTCCCCAGGCTCCCAACAAGGAGGTTTGGTACTGTCTATCCAACTTGCTACGCTCACAATGCTGTACTTCTCACTGAGCAGATCTAAGTTCATAGATCATTGGTTTATGATATGCTTAACTCCTGATACTGCAGAGGGCAACAAAAACTAAATCTGAAGACTTGGTAGCAATGAGGATGGAAGTGGAAACGCTCACCTCTTTCTTTCAGGAAACGAAGGGCATCCATGTAGCCATTGTGGCAGATCTCTGCAAGTGTCTGGTCAACACAAACACAAAGTAAAGCTAAACTTTACATTTTCAGAATAAGATTCATTTAATAAAGCAACATTTTCATTAAGGCGGATGTCAAATCATGATCACCTTCCACTTGTTTGACTGAAACCTTTATTTCTGCTCTTCTGACAGATTAATATAGAAACAAATTGTCCTCCAAATCATATTTCCACTCACCTCCAGCGAAGGAGGAAGGAACGATGTGCATACACGATAGACGTTGCCGGTGTTAACCTGAATGCTAACATTGCTGTAGCTGGCCTCGAAAAAGTTGAATGTACCCTCCCTGGGGCAGATGTCGCTCTCTCCTGAGAAGGGGGCCATGGTGATGGTGTTCCTGTGCTCAAACATAGGCATGTTGTTGCTCAGGGCTCCATCCACATAGTGCTGAGAATGAGGAACAAGCATTCATGTAAATGACGAGTAACAAAAGCTTCTTTCAAATTATCCTTTGGTTTCCTAATATACGCTCTTGTAGAAAAATGTTGGTACCCTTCATTTAATGGGGAGTGTTGGCCTAGTAGGTTAGAGCAATGCGCTTTTGGCCACTCCTACCATTTTTCCCCCTGTATTACAGATGGTGGCAGCAGTAATAGTGGAATACTCAGAATATTAAAAATCTTCATATATTAACAATTACTTGTTAATTATGCACATCAATAAAGTAACATTAAAGATGATAAATACAGAATTCATGCTTTTTACAGAACTAGATTTTGTTATTTAGATAAAGAGAAAATTATGTGTCTCTACAAGTCATCTAGGAGTCTTCAGTGAAATCCTAGATAACTATTTTAATACAAACTTAATAAATAATCAATTTATGTAGATATTACTTGTAAATATCAATTTTTATGAAGAATGATTATTGAAAAAAGTAGGTAAGTAATGACAATTGAAAAGATGTTCGCCCAGAACTCAAACCTGAAACAATTTTTTCCACTATACCTTTTATCTAGAAAGCACGGATGTTTAAATATATGCATCTGTTTGATGGGAAAGGCTTAAGGAAAGGACAGTTTGTCTTTATTTAGAAAACCTGGATGTTTTGCTCATTTTTTTTCCTGTTGGAACAGTGTAGATCGACCATGAGGTCAATGGCGCCGATCCACTTTCTGCCCCCCCTCAGTGTACACTGGTTATTGTCTGGTCACCCTTATAAAAATGTTCTGGCTATACCTCTGCCCACAGCTTCCACTCTGGGTCTCTGAGCAAGACCCTTAACTTCACATTGCTCCCCGTGCGCCACACAAAGGCTACACAGTTCATATCCTTGGCTTTTTTACTCTACTGCATCCAATTGTTCTCTGGCTGTCAGAGGTGTGTGTCAACTATTGATTGCTTTTTTTTCCACAAGTATTGAGTTCAATAGTTTTATATTGAGGTAATAGTTTCATTATACAGAGGGTTATTGTTTTATTTTAGTTGGGGTTAAAAAATTTTAAAACTAATGTATTGCCTTAAGCAATGAAAACATTTTACGGCTCAACTATTTATTGCAGGAAATAGAGTGAAGCCCTATTTGGTCATGTCTAATTATGGAACTTTGGCAGACTAATACAGATAAAGACGTGTGATTCTCAATCAAATGCGCCTCGTCTGCTTTACCCCAGCTGTAGAACCAGACCACAAAGATATCATTTCTATATCGCACAACATATTAATATGCTGATGAAGGTTCTCAGTCATCCAGGTCATAGTCATTCCGTAAAAATTCAAAAAAAATTTCAAAAAATATCCACTGGACTTGGTTTTCAAGATTTGAAGACGTTTCGCCACCTCTCCAGGAAGCTTTCTCAAATCAAATGTCTGGATCCGCAGTGAGTTTGAGTCTTATATGGACAAGGCCTTGTATTGCTTGGAAACATGCAATGGTAACCGATGAATGGGTCGTTTAGTTCCATCGTTAACCTGTAATATCTGAACCTGTCTATGATTTCTAGGGGTCGGTCGTTAAAGGGGGGATTGCCATTAAGGGGGGATTGTCTCCTGTAGTACCTGAAACCTGTCTATGATTGTTAAGGGTCGGTCGTTAAGGAGGTATTGTTCACCGGCTGGAGCGGGTAGGTCCCTCGTTCCTCTGTGATGGGGTGGGGGGTTTGGTGGTATCTGGAAGGGATCATGTCTATGATTGAATTGTATGTTTTTGGAAGCTGGAATCTGAGTCCACCACCTCTGTTTAAAGTTGGTTTTTCTCTCTTAACATAGAAGGCTTCCTTCAGGCCCCTCTCAAACCACCTATTTTCTTTATCCAGAAAATGGACATTCTGGTCCTCAAAAGAATGTCCTTTGTTCACAAGGTGTAGGTGTACTGCGGAGTCTTGTCCAGAGGCGGCCGCTCTTCTGTGTTGGGCCATGCGTCTGTGGAGAGGTTGTTTTGTTTCGCCAATGTTCGCTGCACTGAACAGCATATACCACTCCGCTCATATTCGGTCTGGGGGTTTTATCTTTCGGATGCACTAGCCTCTGTTTAAGGGTTTGGTTTGGCTTGAAATGTACTGGGATCTTGTGTTTGGAGAAAATCCTCTTGAGTTTTTCAGACACTCCAGCAACATAAGGGATTGTGATGTTTTTGCGTTTAATTTTCCCATCGCTGTCTTCTGTTGCATGTCTTTTGGATTTCCTTGCCCAGTTTGGATATCCACAGTTTCGGAGAGCATCTTTGATGTGTTTCTGTTCTTTTTGCTTACCATCTGTTTTAGTAGGGACATGTTCTGCCCGGTGTTGTAAGGTTCTGATGACTGAGAGTTTGTGTTCCAGTGGGTGGTGTGAGTCAAAAAGAAGATACTGGTCTGTGTGAGTAGGTTTCCTATACACTTCAATGTTTAGGCTTCCATCTCCTTCCATGCTCACCAGGCAGTCCAGAAAGGGTAGTTAACATATTAATAAGATATCAAAAGCATCATGCAGACTACTTCAACTACCTCTCAACCAGGAGTTTGCTGTCTGTTTAAATTTTATATTTTGATAAATCTTAAAGTTAGAGTGGCTCAGGTTATCCTGAGCTATCTCTATAGTTATGCTGCTATAGGCTTAGACTGCTGGAGGACATAGGGACCACTTTTCATCATTCTATCTCTATTTATTAGTTCAATCTCTGACGTTATGCTCCATGTTTGGCTGTGACTCCATCCTGGAGAGAAATATCAGCTGTGCTGCTGCCATCAACACCTTTGTTTATAGATGTTGGAGCTTGGCCTGTTTTTCAGTGTAGTCCCGTTTCTCTGAATTGTCTCTGTAAAGTGCCTTAAGGTGACATGTGTTGTTTAACTGGCGCTATATAAATAAACTGAATTGAATTAAAATTAGGGCAGGGTCACACTTGGCATGATTGGTTTAATTATGTTTCAGCTTACTGTTAAAAGTCCACTGGCCTCCGGTCACACTTGCAAAGTATTCTTACAGAATTACTAGCGACCATATGTAATAAATAAATCCCTTCCCCCCATTACCCTATTCCCTCCTCTTCAACAAACTCATATATCTCATGTCTTTTTCTCCTGGGAGTTTTCTCTTTGCGTGTGGATCAGACCTCATTAACAAAACCATGATAGTGTTTAGTCAAACTTCTAAAAGTATTTTGTCAAACATGTACATAAAGGTATTTCGGTAAGATTGTAAGGGTTTTGTCCAAAAAAAGGCTTTTGTGATGTGAAAAAGTGTGTTGTAGAACTTGTAAAAGTGTTTGTCAATCATTCAAAAATGTTTCAGTAAGTCTGTAAAACAGCTTTGTGAAAATTTAAGATCCATGGTACTGTAGTCCACCTCCCTGAACGTGGCTGCAGGAGGAAAAACTGATGATCAATTAAAGAGACTGATACTAGGAACCAAAGAGCCCTGAGAAACTCCTGAAGAGATTAAAGGTGAACTTCAAGCCCAAGTGGACTTATTTGGAGAAAACCAAGGTGGGACACCATTGATGGAAACAAATAATAAAAAAGTCAGACTGGAATTTACTAAACTACATGGTGACAAGCTATAAAGTTTCTGGGAGAATGTCCTTTGGACAGATAAGACAAAAACCAAGACACATCAGCTCAATGTTAACAAAAAATGAAACATATCAAGAAAAGAACAATGTCCCTACTGTGAAGCATGGAGGAAGCTCTCTTATGCTCTGGGGCTTCTTTGCTTCATACTTTTTGCTTCATCCAGACTATCAGGGGATTCTAGAGAGAAATGTTCTGCCCACTGTCAGAGAGATTTGTCTCATAGTTCTTCAAGAGGATAATGAGCCAAAACACAAAGCTAAAAACAGGCAAGAACTGCTGAGAGGAAAACATTGGACTGTTCTGAAGTGGCCCTTAGGAGCCCGTGACCTAAATCCTACTGAGCATTTTTGGGAGAAGCTGAAACAGTGGTGCCACCAGGGGGTGGCCAGGGGAGGCCACAGCAACCCTGTGCAATGTCCTGGCCACCCCACTGGCCAGTGTAAATTGTAGTAGCATCAGTTTATCATCAGCCAGCGACGTAACATTAAAAATCACACAATAACCCAAGATAGGAGTAGGTGTTTACGGAAGACTTTATGATTTCTACAGGCAGGTTTACCACAATACTAGATTCAAACCCTAAAATGATGGCTTTTAGTTTCATTGGCCGCCCCAAGATTTTTAGTGGCCCCATCTGCCCCCCCATGAAACATTTCTCCAGGCCCCACTCAGCTGAAACAGACCACCTGGTAAAGGTGGCCTTCAAAGCTGAGGCACCTGGAGCAGTTTGCTGATGAAGAGAGAACCAGAATACCTGCTGAGAGGAGCAGAGGTCTGACTGACAGGAACAGGATCGATTGGTTGCCACAAGAGCTTGAACACAAGATATTAAGTAAAGCAGATGATCATTTTTGTCCAGGCCTGTTTGATGAGTTTATTCTTTCAAAATCATTCTGTTGAATCCTGGTTGAAAAACAATGTCGGACTCTCATTTTGTCATTTTTTATTTCTTATTACTTTTATTAGATTGAAGGTATTTCCTTGATCATTGTGTTTTTGTTTAGATTACATTTGGAAATGTCTTCTTTTAAACATGTTTGATTTTCTCCCAACTTTACAATTCCTGATTGGGAGGTGGTCATTAGAGTAGGGAGAATCACAAAAACATGCAAGATAGCAGCCTTTAAAGCCCCCCAATGTTTTAGATGATTTAATGATGTTCCACAAATGTGAAAAACTCAGGGCAGATATTATTTGCAGTTTACAGATTTTATTAATAGTTGTTGCTATTTGGCCAAGTTGTTCTCGACGAGTCGTAGTCTCTTTTTGGTAATAGATACAACCTCAAACCTCTATTCCATAGTGAAAGTTCGAGGAGAATTAAGACTCTAGTTTTCCTTTTGGTGTGTTTTTTAAATAGAACATACTAATCAAAATAAATGTCCTTAGTTTTTGTGGCATTTCTATGCTGAAGTTCTTTCCAGGTGGTGTAGCATCTATAGCAGGTAGTTCTACGCATCAATACATCAGGTGGTTTCTGAAAGTTACAGGTTCTTTAAAATTACTCTGAAAATTAAAACAAATGCACTGATATTAGAAAATTCAATTTTATGTTGTGAATTCTTAATCATTTTTGAAACGCATGTATTTAGAATGCTTAAGTGTAGGATCAACATTTTCCATTTTTCCTTCTTATATCTTCACTCTATGAAATAAAGGAGAGGAGACTGTTTTCACGCGTTATGACAGCTTGTCTGCAACATCTTTGGTAAAACTGCCGTATAGCTCTGGCATTGCTCCTTTATTTTCATATTTTTGTCAAAACAAGAGAACTTCCCAGCAACGCTACGGAAGCCCAAACAATCGGAAAAGTGCGTCTAAATCGAATCTTCCTTATAAACAAACAAAATCCAAAAATATGACCTACGTTTGAACATTGAATTTTAATATTATGTTCTATAAATGAGGCTTGCATTAAGTAATACTTTAACTTGAGTAGATTTTTGACTGAGCAACTTTTACGTGTAGTTGAGTAAGATTTGACCATTAGTATCAATACTTGTACTGGTTGATTTGCAAATAAATTTTCCCAGTTGGGTTATAACCGGTTTTCTCTTTTTGTAATTTCCTCTTTGTTTCTGTCTTGTGAAACACCTTGAAATGTCTGCATGCTTGACTGGTATCATTAAGAATGCTGAGTTATTTATGTCAAAGATGTGCAAACGATGGACAGGGATCATACTCACCACTCCATGATATGATGGTGGTATAAAACCGCAGTAAACAGGAAAGAAGCAGCTGCAGATTAGAACCTGTACAGGAGACAAACAGTGGTTGAGGGTATGTTGATGTTCTGCATCCACGTTTTGTCCACCAGCTGCAGCACAGAGTAGAAGACAGCCCTGCAGCAGATAGTGAGAGGAACTGACAACAAAGGGAACTGTCATTTGGGTCTCCCTACCTTCTCTCAGGAACTGTTTTGGATTACTGGATCTATAACATCCAATTCTACAAACTTTATACCACAGTGATTTAAACTCTAGATGTTCAATATTATATTAACATCTATTATTGTAATACTTGGTGTGTTTTTTTTATTTTTTATGTCAGTTAATGTGTAGCAGCGAAAACTCCTAATGCACTAAGGCCCAGTTTGACCACATGTGATTGAATTGTCGGTCAGTTCTACCTGAATGAGCTCCTCTCTGGTGTCAAACTTTGACACCAACACATTTCCTCCATCCGCCAGTCTGGTGAGCGACACACAGAGCTTGCCTGTGGCTCGGAGATGGGCGTCCTCCGGAAGCATTTCGAGCAGAGAGCGTCGCACCATCTCCAGCATCCGGAAGGTTGGGTGAAAAACTCCCAGTGTGTGTTTTCTAGCCTCCCTTGCGAGGTTCAAAATACTGAAACAGAGCTGATCTAAAGAGGGAAACATAAACAAACGTATTTAAGATTCTCATGGATGTAAAACAACTGCTTTCACTTTAAACTTAATTGTCATCATTGGGAAAAATGTGTTTTGTTTGTATTTGTTAAAGAAACAACTTTATGTTCCTCTTTTAATGTTTTGCTCTCGTTCACTCCTGTTATCTTTGAATATGACGTAAACTATGGAATTTGCCCTCACATTGCATGGGTGGAGAGGCTGTCGGTGAACTTGCAGAGTACAATATCAATAACAACACTTGGTGTAAGATAACACTTTCCTAACTAGTGTTAAAGATATGCTCTCTGTGTCTACACCTTGAAGCTCTACCTCTCTGGTTCTTTTCCCCAAAAATAGATCACTCAGGACAAACTCTTAAAATAACACTTTATTACTTATATGTATTAAATAACCAGGAGACATGACAACAGATTCTGATAGAAGTTGTAATCTTACTCAGATCAGAGAAATTGCTTAGAGTTACAGAAGGCAGCTCCTCACCTCTGGGCTCACCTCTCAGGAAGTGGCCCCGAATAACAGTTAAAAAGGCATTTTATACATCTCCAGTCTGGACATCAACATATTTTACATCATACATGTTAGCAGATGATTAAACATCCATGGCTTCAGCCTTAATCAGATAGACTATTGTGGAAAACATCAGTTCTGACGCGCAACAGTCAGCCAATACCAAGGTGTAATAAACTCACACATTGTCAATGATAATTATCCTAACCCTAGAAAAACAGAATCTCAAAGATTTATTTACATGGAAAGAAACAATCTGTATGACTGCATCATGCACAGTTTTAACATGTAATACTGTGTATTTGGAAAAAGGGAAATCCTAATGAATATGTGACTATTACCTTCATAAATTTAGTCTGACTCTAGACTTAGACAAATTTTATTGTCATTTTGTACACACAGGGTGTATACTAAACAAATTTACGTTCAGTACAGCTCTCAAGACATTTTCATTTTTTAAAGAGGCCAGAAATTGTCTTCCTTAAAGTGATAAAATGTAACATGGTGATCAAATGTAAATATAGGACTGTGATATGATTTACAGTTTATCCAACATTCAGCGCTTTTTTCCCCTGTTTTGTTCAACATGCAGCAGGATGGACAACAGGATTTACAATAATCGACTCACCAACAGGAATCCCCACAGCTAGAGCTGCTGCCACAAGACAACCAGAGGAAGCCCCCCCAAATTTAGAGGCTCGGTGCACCAGCTGAGGGGCCCGCTCAAGGATACAGCTTAAAGCTCCAACATAGTAGATACTCCTAAATCCACATCCAGCAAAGGAGATGTTCCACTCCTCATATTGGTCAAACATTCTCACTCAATCTTCCATTCAGAGGAACTAAAATCATTCTTCTCTTTTGATTGAGCCCCACAGCCCAGCTGTTTGCATCTGGATTCCTCTCTGGACTGAATGAACATCCCTTATCTTCATACATTTAGAGGGTGAATGGGCGGGGCTTACTGGGACTAGATGTCAGAACAGAAAAAGTACAAACCAATCACCTAACTCAGCAGTGATCAAAACAGCCGAATGTCATGTGACCGTGCACTGTTTGACACAGTTTGTGGGTGTGTGTTTGTGTGTGTGTGTGTATTTGTGTTTTTTCTTTGAGCTTTTGGTGCCACAAAATAAGCTAAGCTTAAGATAGCTGCTGTATTTTTTTTAAATATTTGAATTCATGTTCGTTGCAAAACAGTTTGGAAGATAAGTGATATGATTATTGTTAGGTTTATTCTTTATACATCATGTGCATCGTTATTCTGTTAGCCAGATTAGACAGAGTAGAAGGCCTTCCTTCACATGGTGGATGTCACTGTGTATGGAGGAGAAGAACACCTGCTTGCTTCTAATGATTTCCTTTAGCTCACCAACAGTGATGGGACTAACGGCGTTGAAACTAACGGCGTTACTAACGCCGTTACCTTGTTTTAGTAACGAGTAATCTAACTAATTACCTTGACTGTAACTATAACGCAGTTACCATTGCAGGCACCCCGTTACTGCGCGTTACTCAGGTCGCACAATGAACCTTTTTTCATGATAGGACTCGTGCGCAGCTGCGTGAAGCTGACACCCCACCCACGTCAAAAAACTCTGCAAATAGACTGAATGGTAAGTGCAACGTTAGTGCAGATTTGTGCAGAAAAAAATATTGTTTGTGCTACTTTTGTTTAAGAGATATTAAGGATTATTTTTTTAGGTCATCCAGAGGTGCGCGCCTTGTCATGAGAGAGGGGAGGATGAGATTCCGTCTGTCAGTTGAATAGGTGGGTGTTTCTGCTGGTGGGTGTTAATGTACAGCACACACAGAGAGATGGAGAGTGAGGATGACTCCAGCAGCAAAACAGCGTTTTCCACATGGAAATACCGGTGTTACGTAGAGCTGCGTTTCCCCATCACATACCGGTTTCCTCTGCATCTCCACACAGCGCAGGCGGCAAGAGTCACCGCGCAAGCGACAGGAAACGCGCATGCTCGCTAAATGCGCGCAACAGTCGCTCTGTGCTCGCGCCACAGGAGAACTATGGAGAGCGTGAACGATCAAATGAACCTGACAACAGCCAGAAATGATAGCCTATATGGAGAAAGGGAGAAATCTGGATGGATGGATGGATGGATGGATGGACGGACGGACGGACGGACGGACGGACGGACGGACGGATGGATGGATGGATGGATGGATGGAAGGATGGATACTCTGCCTTCTCAACCTACTGTATTTTTTATTTTAAACATTATTTGATGGCCTTTGTGGCAGGGATGGAGATCCATATTTTATGTCACACACAGAGTATAGATAGATAGATGGATAGATAGATGTTGCAGTATCTATAACAACCCAAACACACAGGATTTCAGAATTAGACATCCCCAGTTATTAATTTCATATACTCACCGGATCTGAATGTCCTGTTATAAAACTTCACATCGCGTTCCCCCTGATGTCATTTACGTTGAGTTGCAATAAATGCTAAACTGTCTGCAGGTTCTTGTCTTTGTCGTCCGCTCTATTCAGCTGGCTTTGGAAACACAGGCGAGAAGGTGGGGGCTGGGTGGTGAGGGTTACCGGGGCGGGAAACGCAAAAGTAACGCAATAGTTACTTTTACTAGTAACTAGTTACTTTTATTGTGGAGTAACTCAGTTAGTAACTCAGTTACTTTTTGGGAGAAGTAACTAGTAACTATAACTAATTACTTTTTCAAAGTAACGTGCCCAACACTGCTCACCAATGAGTGTTTGCATTATATGACTCATCCAATCACACATGACGGGAAATAAATATTTATAAACATTAAACCTGTCATGTTAGGGTCTAGTCTTCTAACCCACATGCAGAAACACTCAAGAGGCAGGAAAAATAGTTAAAAGGTTTATTGACAATGTTTTCTGAAAATGTAAATGGTGTCTTGGTTCGTCAGGTTGTGGTCACTAGAGGGAAACAATTAGAGGAGGACTGAAGAAGAAGAAGTTAGAGTGGATCCAGGAAACTTGCTGCTTGACGGCGGTCTGGTCTTACACCTGCTATGGGGGTATTCTGACTGGTAGGGGGGGAACCTTGAGGGTCCAGAGGCTGAACGGCAGGATGAGGGCGGAGGGCAGAGGCGGAGGCTGAGGCGGAGGGCAGACAGGTAGGCTCCAGGCAGCAAGAGTTTGTCTTGGAGTTGACTGATCACCAGATATGTCAGGATCTGAGAGGCAGAAAAAAACACAGAATCAGAGGGGTTTCAAAAAAGTCAGGAAACAGATCAGATTTTCAGCTGGCTCAAAGTTTGCCGGTACCGTTACTGGCAAAACACTCTGGCAGAGAAGTGTCAGCCTCCTCCTCCTTAAAAAGCCTCCAAATGAGCAGATGGGAAGCAGGTGTGCAGAAGTCAGCTCGCGCCCTCAGGACCTTTTCTCCCTCTGGTGGAAAAAGGTTGACAAGCCTCCGGATCCCAACAAAACCGAAGCCAAGAGTAACGAGTGACGTTTGTTTTAAAGATGTAAGGAATAGAAAGTACAGATATTTGTGTGAAAATGTAATGAGTGGAAGTCAGAAGTAGGAAGTAAAAAAGTAATGGAATAAAGTATAGATACCTAAAAAGTGTACTTAAGTGCAGTAATGAAGTATTTGTACTTTGTTACTTGACACCTCTGCAGATTGAAGATGATCTATTGAGAAAGATGGAGAGAATATTTGTCCAAAGCTGCACTCAGATTCAGAAGGATTAGAATAGGGATGAGACCTGAGGTGGCTGCCATCAGGTCATGTGTGATTTTTAGGACAGCAGTTTCAGAACTGTGGCCAGAGGCAGAAACCAGGCTGGAAGTATAATAAAGGTTATTATAGGTTAGATTGGAGTGAAGTATTTTAGGATACTTCCGGATACTTTAGGATAGGAAAAAGGTTATTGTAGTTTTTAAGATCTGACCCAGGTTTTTTTTTGTATAGGAGTGATTACTGCGGTTTTAAGAGAAAATGAACAATTCAGAGGTAAGAGAGGAGTGAATAATGGCAGCTATACTCAGGAGCAAAGGCTGGAGACAGGATTTGACCAGAGTTGTTGACAGACACAGGTAGAAGTTTTATGTTTTAACATCAAGATTGGCACATTTTCCATAGTGTTTTTCACAGACGAAAGCAGCTTCACACTGAACAGAGAGTCTGGAGACACAGTGGAGAACAATGTGCTGCCTGCAACATCCTTCAGCATGACTGGGTTGGCAGTGGGTCAGTAATGATGTGGGGTGGCATTTCTTTGTAGGGCCGCACAGCCCTCCATGTGCTCACCAGAGCTAGAATGACTGCCATTAGGTACCAAGATCCTGTGAAATGAAGGCATTGAAGCTATGGACCAGCTGCCTGTTCCCCAGACCAGAATCCGATTATATTTTGATTGACCACATCTGGGACGTCACGTCTCAAGCATCCAACAACAGGAGTTGTTGGATGCTTTAGTCCAGGTCTGTCGGAGATCTATCAAGAAACCATTTGCCACCTGATCAGGAAAGGAAAGGCAAGGCAAGGCAAGGCAAATTTATTTGTATAGCACAATTCAGTACAAAGACAATGCAAAGGGCTTTACATGATTAAAATATAGGAAAATAAAACAGAATCAAAGCAAGTAGGAAAAACAATAAATAAATAGAATAAAATAAAAAAAATGCAGAAACAAAAAAGAACATTAAAAACAGTTGGACTAAAGAAAACAAAAAAGTTGAACTAATGATGTTTCAGTTGAACTGTTTAACTAGAACAGTGGAAGGCAATCCTAAACAAATGTGTTTTTAGTCTTGATTTAAAGGAACTCAGGCTTTCCACACTTTTACAGTTTTCTGGAAGTTTGTTCCAGATAAGTGGAGCATAGGAACTAAATGCTGCTTCTCCATGTTTAGTTCTGGTTCTTGGTATGCAGAGCAGGCTCGAGCCAGAAGACCTGAGTGGTCTGGAGGGTTGATACACTGATAGCAAGTCTGTGATGTATTTAGGTGCTAAGCCATTCAGAGATTTATAGACTAACAGAAGTATTTTGACGTCTATTGTCTGAGATACAGGGAGCCAGTGTAAGGACTTTAGAACCGGGGTGATGTGCTCTACTTTCTTAGTCTTAGTGAGGACACGGGCAGCAGCGTTCTGGATCAGCTGCAGCTGTCTGATCCACTTTTTAGGCAGACCTTTGAAAACACCGTTGCAGTAATCAACTCGACTAAAAATAAACGCATGGATTAGTTTTTCCAGATCATGCTGAGACATTAGTCCTTTAATCCTGGAAATGTTCTTCAGGTGATAGAAAGACGACCTTGTAATTGTCTTTAAATGCTTTTGGAGGTTCAAGTCTGAATCCAGCACTACACCTAGATTTCGGGCCTGATCAGTGGTTACTAGCTGAAGCGACTGAAGCTGTGTGCTAACTTTAGATCTCTCCTCTATTGGTCCAAAGATTATTACTTCAGTTTTGTTTTTATTCGGTTGTAGAAAATTATGGCACATCCAGGCATTGATTTCTTCTAAGCATTTCCTCAGTGCTTGAATTGGTTCACAGTCACCTGGTGACATGGTGATGTAAAGCTGTGTGTTGTCTGCATAGTTATAGTAGCTGATGTTGTTGTTTTTTATTAACTGAGCAAGAGGGAGCATGTAGATATTGAATAGGAGGGGACTCAGGATGGACCCTTGGGGAACCCCACATGTGATTTTTGTCATCTCTGATGTAAAGTTGCCTACTGACACAAAAAAGTCCCTGTCCTTTAAGTAGGATTTAAACCAGTTGAGAGCTGTACCAGAGAGGCCGACCCAGTTTTCCAGGCGCTCTAACAGGATGGAGTGATCTACAGTATCGAATGCTACACTGAGGTCCAATAGTACCAGCACTGGGGTTCTTCCGCAGTCTGTATTTAAACGGATGTCATTAAACACCTTGATGAGGGCGGCCT